TGCTTCCATTTACTCATGTACTGGTCGTCAGACTGGATGTGAAACTGAAGAGGAAAGGACTGTATGGGTCTTGAATAATTAAAGTGAGTGAGAGAAGGATTGGCCTTTCAAAATATTACTGATAGGCTGAGGTTAGAGATTACATAATAACCATTCAAAGATCCAGCTGTAGAGAATGGATTAATCCAGGACTAAGTTTTTCTGCATTACTGGGGCAAAAGGCAAGACTGCAAATCAAATGCAAGGTGCAAGCTAGGTGAAGGAGGAAGAGGAGCCAGCAGGAGGCTGGTAGGCTGGCTGAAATAACAGAAGCAAAAGATTGTTTTTTTTGTGAGCAGTTAGTACTATGGAAGTAAGGTGACCAAATCATCCTAGTTTTCTCAGGACTTTTCCAGTGTTAAAACTTAAGAGTCCTGTATCCTAGGAACCTTACATGCAAGGAGGTGCAAAAAAGGAAACTAAGACAACCTCTCAGGTCCTCCTCAGCCAGCTTAACCTATAACCTCTTAAGGTTTAACCTTTTTGAGTTAATTCATTTCCCAGGGTCTTTTTTCAAATTTTTCTATCTATATTTAAAAGCCCAGCAACCATTAAGGTGGACCGACCAGAACAACTGGTCGCTATGATGCGCACTGACCACCAGGGGGCAAATGCTCAACACAGGAGCTGCCCCCTCGTGGTCAGTGCGCTCCCACAGCAGGAGCGCCGCTCAGCCAGAAGCTGTGCTCACAGCTGGCAAGCGCAATGGTGGTGGTGGCTGGAGCCTTCCCTGCCTCCATGGCAGCGCTAAGAAGCCACAAGGAGCGAGCAGGGAGGCGGTTAGGAGTGAGCAGACGGGCAATTAGGAGCGAGGGGTCCCGGATTGTGAAAGGGATGTCCGACTGCTGGTTTAGGCCCAATTGGCTGGTTTAGGCAGTCAGACATCCCCCAAGGGGTCCCAGTTTCGAGAGGGCACAGGCTGGGCTGAGGGACCCCCCACCCCACCCCCCGCAGCACCCCGTGCACAAATTTCATGCATCAGGCCTCTAGTTTTTTAAATAATAGAAATATTTTTTAAATAATAGAAATATCTCTTTAGTCTCCTTTATTGTCCCTTACTTTTATTTTACTGTATTTTTTGTCTTTCATGACATTGATATTTTTGAAGAGTCCAATTGTCCATAATCGGTTTCAAAGAGAGGTAGCCAAGGGGATCACCCAGCTTTAGGGCTCAGGAACTGACACATAACTTAAGATGTTGGCCAGGGGGTTAGCCAGGGGCTTAACCTTGTGACTTTTAGTCAAAACTGGGTTATTGTCTTCTGCTGCTTGGAGGTCAACAATTACCCAAGGTGAGAAACTAAGGTCAGGTCAGTGAAATGTAAGTTCTAGAGGCTGGGAGTCCAATCAAGGTGTCAGCAGGTTTGGTTTCTTCTTGGGCCTTTCTCCTTAACTATCAGATGGTGACCTTGCTGAGTCCTCATATGGTCTTTTCTCATCTGTGGTATTCTCTGTGTGTCCAAATTTCTTCTCTCCCAGGGTCTTGAATTCTGAAAAAACTAGAGTACTTCTCTTCTGGTTGCCACTCCAAATAGACAATTCTTTAAGATAATTATGTCTTTGGGTCCCTTCCCACTGGAGTTTTCCAAATAGTGTGCTTTCTAGGTTTTCAGACTTCTGTGTTCCCAACCCCTTTCCTGAGAGTGAATTCATTGAGCTTCTCTGACTTCGATCCACATACTCCCACTGAGTTCTTGTCAATCTCTTCCTTCTGTCCTAATCCTCAGCCATGCCCTCCATCTCTCCAGAGCCTTTGTTTCTTTTCAGATCAATTAGCATAAGACAATTGTATTACATATAATTCAATTACTTTCCTGTCCTATAGCCCAGAAGTACTCTCAAATCCCTATTAGAATTTGGGTAAAAGAGGTTTAGATTGTTTTGTTTGTTATGAGTACAATAATCTAAACAAAACATTTACTTTGCCTAAACATTAGTTCAGGTGGGGTACAGCTAAGGTCCCTTTTAAAACAAATCCCCGATTTGAACTTTTGGTCTCTTTCCCTAGTTCTTTTTTTTTTTTTTTAGCTTTAGTTTTTTATTGAAACTATACATATTCAATTGCTTAAGGTGGCAAATAAAACTATGAGGATTAATAATGGAGAATAGTCATTGTGTTCCTTCTACCCCTTGAGCTCTTGCTCCCTAAAAGGAACTACTTTCAACTCTTTTCAGCTGACTTTTGGTTTCTACTTCCATACCTCTCTAAATATATATATAGTTATAATGTACTTAATTTATCAGTTCAGGCATTATGAGAGATGCGGATATCTCTTCCTTTTACACATTTTTACTTGCCCCCAAGCATGAACTTTTTCCATCACCACCTCAAACTCCAAAAATAATTTTTATTAGATTAACATTTAATGTTTGTTATAATTATGTAAAATTCGATGCACAACCAAACCAGGTATTCTGGGATTAATTTTCATTTCCTGCATAACTTTGTTTTCCCTGGAAAATAATAATTCTTTTTTATTTGCATAACATGTACTCAACTTATTGCTAATTCAACCCCATACTCTCAATTAATTTGTAAGTGACCTATTTTATCTTCTCTTGTCCATAGTGTTCTGTGTCTTGGTATGGGTCTATTTGCATTCATCATGAGGGACACTTACTAGCTTTTTTTCATTCTGGAAACTCCAGAGCTTTGTTTCTGAAAACATGTATTGTTGATATGTCCTCCCTCCATTTTTATTTTCTTTTTCTAGAATTTGTTATTCATAAGTTTACCTCCTAAACTGGTCCTCTTATTTTCTCTATATTTTGTTTGTTTGTCCTACCTTATCTTCCAATACTTCCAATATTTCATTTCTACTATCATATTCATAATTTCCAAAGGCTCTTTTTATTTTTAAATGTTCTGTTAACAGCATGCCGTTCTTGTATCACAGATGCAATATTAATCATAGTTTTATTGCTTGTTTTCTTCTCCCTGCATAATCTTAGTTGCCTTCATTTTTTGTTTGTTTATTCCTTTGTCTCTTTCTTTGATCTTTATTTTTATATTAGAGGCTTTCTTCAAATGTTTGGTAAAATCCTTGACCATCTGCTCTTACTTTAGAGTGGGGTGGTTAAGAAGTAGATAGGTAGCTCTGAATCTTAGGTGGGGTTTATCCATAGTGAACTACTTTGTCAGGTGATCTGGCTAGCTATTTCATTGGGGGACTTTCAATGACAGTATCTTTAGGTCTGTTCTCTTGTGCTGGCCATATTCTCCCAAGAAATACCTTCTAATTTTATGCCCGTTATTATAGAACTGGCATTCTTGGAACTGCGTAAGAAGAAGCATGTCAAGGTCATATGCTATAAGCCCAGGTTCTTGATTCTAAGTCTGAGCATGTAACCACTACCCAATACATTATTTCTCTCCTCTTTACCCCAGTTTAGTTTAACATGTATTGACTACCTATCCTGTGTTTAAATGTTAAGTCTAATTAGACCCATTGGTCTAAATCAGCCGTGGGCAAACTACGGCCTGCGGGCCGGATCCGGCCCGTTTGAAATGAATAAAGCTAAAAAAAAAAAAAAAGACCGTACCCTTTTATGTAATGATGTTTACTTTGAATTTATATTAGTTCACACAAACACTCCATCCATGCTTTTGTTCCGGCCCTCCGGTCCAGTTTAAGAATCCATTGTGGCCCTTGAGTCAAAAAGTTTGCCCACCCCTGGTCTAAATGCTGGGGATAAAGAAATCATTAGAACACCCTACTTCTCCCATCCCAGGTTCAATTTAAGTCAATAAAAAACTATTAAACTTGTAGCTGTTCAAAGTTCTGTGTTAGCAATGTAGAAAGGAAAATTATCATCAAAACATTGCTCCTGTCTCAAGCTCTTAGCTATGCGTGGGAGGTAGAAACAAATTATGAAACCAAAATGCAAGGCAGAACATGACATAAATAATGCAAGAAAGGAAGAAGTACTGTGGTCGTTTAGAAAGGAAGAAGAGATTCATCTTGATTGTGGGATTATGAAGCAAGTGGGGAGTTGAATTAGAGTTTTAAAACTGTACAGAATTTTACAGAGATGGGGGTGGGCAGGGTGTAAGCAAAAGCAAAGGCCAAAGATCAAAATATCTGGATTTCAGGACTCTGCTTTTTATTTCTGCAGGGTGATTCTGGAGGCCCCCTCCACTGCTTGATGAATGGTCAGTATACTGTCCATGGAGTGACCAGCTTTGTGTCCAGCCAGGGCTGTAATGTCTCCAGGAAGCCCACAGTCTTCACCCGGGTCTCTGCTTACATCTCTTGGATGAATAACGTGAGTCCTCTCAAATAATGGGTTGAAATAGGGTCACCTGGAGACCTGTGCACTGGCTGGGTTGGAGAGCAAAAGTTGGGCAGGGGAAACCATCATTTTCCTCACCACATTCATATGTTTACTCCTTTCCCTTCCCCCCATAGTGCACTTTCCCTCAATAATGATACCACCCTGAGTTTCCCTTCACAAACCCACTAAGCAGGCTTCACCATATTGTTTACTGCTTGGGGAAGATGGTGGTAACAACAGATCTGAACCAGGCATTTATCACTGCTGTCCTAAGTTAAAGTCAAAGAAAAACAGCTTCAGAAAGCCTGCATTCTCCTGGGCAAGGGAAGAGGCACTAACAATCTCTCCCATTATGAGAATTTGCTCTACCCTTTGGAAAGAGGTTTTACCACTTTAAACAATTTTTGAGAGTTAGATGAGACTCTACTGATACTGACTTATTGGGAGAGCCTCACAGCCATCTCACCTGTGCCTTGCAGCCTTCTAACTCATTCTGGAGTCTTGTGGTATGAACATTAACTCACAACCATTGCAAAGTCTGTCCTTGCCACTAAATCCTGGATATCTATATATATAAAAGGCTAGTGTCCATCTGACTGGTAGCTATGATGCACACTGACCACCAGGGGGCAGATGCTCACTGCAGGAGCTGGAGCTGCCATGATGTGCACTGGCTATTTAAAAATAAACGGCACATGGACCTGGCACTGACAAACCAACACTCAGCTTCCCCAAGTGGGACACAGTCCCTGCCACCACCCTGGAGCAACACCCCCAGCAAATCGCAGCCAAGACTGCTGAGACCCCATGGTGCAAAATGCAGCCCACAGCCGCGGCCCAGAAACAGTCGCTGTAGACGTGCTGGGTAATGATGTCACATAGCAACACTCAGTTTCCTCTCCCTAGTGACTAACCTTCTTGGAGTTTTTTCAGCCCAGGAACATGACTTGCTTTATAGCCAGGTGCAAACATTTTACACTTTAACCAAATGTTTGTGAAGCATTTTCACATGCCTCATCTCATTTGATCCTCACAGAAGTCCTGGAGTAGGTAGATAGGAGACTCGGTAGAATCCTATTTTCTTTTCATTACCCGGAAAAGGGAGATTTAGAGAGTTTAGAAATTTGACCCGACTGAAAAGAAGTAAGAAATGGTGGACCTTGAAAATGACTTCAGGTTTTCTCACTGTGCAGAATATAGTCAAACACTGCTGCAGTTAAATATTTTACCCTTTGTTCTCCCTGCATGATCTACAATAATAATGTGCTTCATGTTGCTATTTACTGCTGTGTTGCTGACAATTACCTGAAAGAGAAGTTGGGGTGCTTCACTGGGCTGTAAAAAGTTTAGCTAAATCAGAAAGCAGGTCTAATTAAGCAGGTTTATTCTCTATATATAAAAGGCTAAGTTGACTTGCGCATGCGCGATACATATAAAGCTCTCGCTGGTGCCAATCACACATGTGTGTTTTGATCTGTCATTGTCGATCGTGAATTTGGTTGACACTTCTATTAGAGAAAGGGCAAATAGCGATTTTAAAATATTTCTTCTAATTAATTTCCTTTCAATGTGCATGAATCCGTGCACTGAGACACTAGTATGTCCATAACATTGAATTGTCTTGACACAGCTGCAACATACTTCCTGCCCTACAACCTCTTATCTCCCTATAAACCCAGTATAGGGTCATATGCAACTAGGAACCCTGAAGGAAAAAAAAAGGATGTAGGCAGAAATAACTGACTGTGGATATAACTTGCGTTTCCTTCAGGTCATTGCCAACAACTGAACATCTTCCTGAGTACAACAGCCATGCCAAGATAATTCTTTAATTCGCAGCAGGACTTGAGGTCATCAAGAAAAAAACATTCTAGGAGACTATTGAACCAGATACAGAAATGCAAATAAAACTGCATACACATTACCAACCTGTGTCTTTTTATTTATAATTAAGCTCTCTAGAAAAATGTAGTTATAGGTCCCAAGTCGGATTTCACCACATTTCTGGGCTGGTTCTTCCATTTGCTGCCACCTCTATCAGTTCACAAACTAAGCCAAGTGGGAGTGGTTTTATATTATCCTTTTTAAATTATCTTAGGATCTACCAATCCATTAACCTACCCATCTGCCTTCTTCCAATGCATGTTTTCTATATACAAAGTCACAGAGTACTTTTAAATGTTCCTGAGTGACAAAATGTGTTCTGATCTTCCAGGTCCTTCTTCTTTTGTTTCCCCCTTCAGTGGCTAGAACAAGTGCTCACCCCAAGGTTCTGGGTGGTGGCAACTTCATACAAGGATACACTAGAGAAAGGAGTATAGGATTAGGTGGTAGGTCAGATGCCAGCAAAGAAAGTGGCAAATTAGAAAGAAAGACTAGGAAGTAAAAAAGTAGAAAAAAGGAGAAAAGAAAATGTTGAACAAAGAAAATAAAGATTTAAGGGGAAGAGGCAGAACAAAAAGGGAGAGGCCTCACGTGAGCCATGGCCACAGCCACACCCGCAAGAACCAGAAGCACTTGGGAGGCTGAGGTAATGCTGGTGGCTTGTAACATTGCAGGATCAACTTGGACAACTATCACCCAGGTTACTAGGGTAAAGTTGATATGAGGAATTACCACTTAAAGAGGAACCAGAGCTTCTGCCCAACTGTCAACCTTGATAAACTATGGACCCTGGTAAGTGAGCAGACACAGGTAGGTAAAAGCTGCCAAAAACAAGACTGGAGCTGTTCCTATCACTGATGTGGTGTGATCGGGCTACTACAAAGTTCTGGGGAAGGGAAAGCTCCCAAAGCAGCCTGTCATCATGAAGGCCATCTATTTCAGCAGAAGAGTCGAGGAGAAGATTAAGGGTGTTGGGGTTCCGGTAGCTTTAAGCCACATACTAGTAGAGAGAAGTTCATTAAATGCTCACAAGCGCTTCTCAAAAAAAATTATATATATCCTCAAACTAAGTATGAGTTAGCACTTCAAGGCCGAGACTAAAATAGGCAACCTGACCCAGGGTTCTATAAACCACAGAGAACTGGGAAGCTGATAATTTGCCTCATCCTGGCCAGGGCTTAGTCTGTTAGAGTGGTCTACCATAGATTGAAGAGTAAGCTGAGAGGAGAAGGCTAAGAGGAAGAGAAGCAGCAACCTTTTATTTTTTTAAGTCATTTTAAGTTTTTGTTGGCTGATAAAAAAACTGCCACACTTCCTTCCCACCTCATGCTGCTATTCCTGAATTTAATTTGCAAAGGGAAGCAGAGACTAACAATTTTATTTAACAAAATTTAAACTAGTGGGGGGGACATGCTTATGGTTAGAAAATAAAATTTATCTCTCACAGAAAATGTTTTTTTCCTACATCATATTTTAAAATACAGTCTTGTTTTCCATTTAGGAACTGTGAAAAACACATATTTAAAATGTTGTTGGCCCTGGCCGGTGTGGCTCAGTTAGTTGGAGCATTGTTTTGTACACCAAAAGTTGGCAAGGGCCCATACCTAGGTTGCGGGTTTGATCCCAGGTCGTGGCACGTGTAGGAGGTAACAGATCATAGTTTCTCTCTCTCTCTCTCTCTCTCTCTCTCTCTCTCTCTCTCTCTCTCTCCCTCCCTCCCTCAAACAAATAGAAAGCATGTCCTTGGATGAAGATTAAAATGTCTTTGGCAGGATGCCCCATTTTGCAATGTACGCTTTCCTAGATTCTTTTGGGCTACAGATGTTGAGAGGTATTCCATGTTCATGTTCTCATTTCCTATGTCGATGATGCCTGGCAGAGCCTTCCATTATTCAACTTTCTGACATCTTATCAAGAATTGGTAGAGGGGCAAGAATTCTTGCCCGATTTGTTTCTACAATGCAGCCATTTAATATCTTCTCATCCAAAATGAGGTGTATGTTATCCAAATTAAACATTATATCTAATTCACTCACTTGGCTGAAGTACTCATCTAAAATTTCCACATAGTTATGGGTGAATTCATAAATCGCCATCTCATCCTTGGTGTCATTAATTCCAACCACAATGAAGAGAGCTGCATACTGCTGATATACCAGCTTAAAATCCTTATATTCAGTGAAAGAGCACTGTGGGGCTCAGGGTGGTGTTGGTCCTTCTCATGGTTTTTCCTAGAATCCTCCTTCCCCTTTCCCACAGAAGCTAGTTCCTCAAACCTCACTGCGGGGCTTCCTTGGGGCACCCATTTTGAGAAGCCACTTACTATAGCAGTTACTGAGGACCAGACAAGAGGGACCAGGGTAGTTAACATTATAGCAGGAGAAACGGCTAAGACGGGTCCTGGAACTTGTAGGCTACTATGTCAGCGGAGGCCTCCAGAACAGTGTATACACTGTAAGAAGCTGGGCTGGGATCAGGATGCTTATATCCCCAATCTCAGTTCCACACTGAGGGATGGGTAACCTTGGGCAAGCCACCAGCCCTTTCTGTGACTCAACTTCTTTATCTAGTTAACTTCTAAAGATTGTCTGTGCTCTAATATTACATGATTTGGTGACCACCAATTTCAGTTCCCGAGAGATTAGCACTGAAGAGAGTTTCTTGGGAGGCAGTGGCTGGGCTGCACTGCTGAGGATGCTGCAGATTCCTGAGAGTGACACAGGTATTGGCCTCTTTCTGCCAGTGACACACCTGTTATCATCACCATCTTCTCTCAGGTGTCCCCACAACACCACCATTCTCTGGGCTTCTCCCCCACATCTCCCCATCCAACATCAAGTCCTTCCATTTTCTTCATTCTAGACCAGGGGTGGGCAAACTTTTTGACTCGAGGGCCACAATGGGTTCTTAAACTGGACCGGAGGGCCGGAACAAAAGCATGGATGGAGTGTTTGTGTGAACTAATATAAATTCAAAGTAAACATCATTACATAAAAGGGTACGGTCTTTTTTTTAGTTTTATTCATTTCAAATGGGCCAGATCCGGCCCGCGGGCCGTAGTTTGCCCACGGCTGTTCTAGACCATCCTCACAACTAACACTGAGAATGAATTCTATTGATCTATTACCTGAAAATATTGGCTCTAGTTCTATAAATGAATAACATCCTATATAATAAGGCAAATTGACCATCACACCCTCGCACAAGATGGCCACCCCCATGTGGTCAAAGATGGCCACCACAAGATGGCCGGCAGGGGAGGGCAGTTAGGGGCGACCAGGCCAGCAGGGGAGGGCAGTTAGGGGCGACCGGGCTGGCAAGGGAGGGCAGTTGGGGGTGATCAGGCTGGCAGGGGAACAGTTAGGCATCAATCGGGCTGGCAGGGGAGTGGTTAGGGAGTGATCAGGCACGCAGGCGAGCGGTTGAAAGCCAGCAGTCCCCGATTGTGAGAGGGATGTCTGACTGCTGGTTTAAGGGATCAGGCCTAAACCAGCAGTCAGACTTCCCCTGAGGGGTCCCAGATTGGAGAGGGTGCAGGCTGGGCTGAGGGACACCCCTCTCCCCCAGTGCACGAATTTTGTGCACCAGGCCTCTAGTATATAACATAACATTATGATCATCTGATTACCAACCTTTCTCCATCTGTCGACATGAAGCATCTGAGGTTAAAGATCAAATGTTTTTCATTCATCTTTGGCTTCCCAACACTCAGCAATGCCAGTCACACGGCTGATCCTCAGAGTAGTACATCCACTTTGGGGAATGACCTTGGAAAACAATAGACAAGGGCCTCTAATTTTGTCCCAGGCCTCCAGTTTCCCTCTCCATTCCTTAGGAAGTGGTATTTTGACCCTCTTCCCTTCCTTAAGGGAATTTTATCTGCACTGAAAAATCCTTGAGTAAATGGTTCCTCCAAATCTAGTGTCCTAATTTCCAGCTATCCCCTCCAACAGGTCAGAGAGTAACTTCCTGTTGGAGACCTACATAGAGAAGCGACCGTTGTAAAAGCAGCGGTCCCACCCCAACTTTCACAATCTGTGTCTGTCTTCACATTCTGCTTCCTTCTAGTTACATTGTACTAGTTTATCAAGCTACAAAGATTTGCTCTCCATCCCCAGCACAGGCTTCCATACGCTCCTCCTCATTCTTCTTTCAATAAGATCCTCTCCTTCCCTAAGCACCTCCATTTCTGTCTCTACCTCAGTTGTTCCTCCCTTTCAAATTCAGGTGTGGACTCTGTCCCTACCAGTTCTAGCCTTAGAGCCAACCTCTGATAGAGGCTTTCCATCTTTAAAACAGGTAACCTGACAGAAGGAAGTACATGTTGCGTGGCCACCCAGTATACATACCCGTATAAATGAAAGGCGCTTTCCCAAACAATAACTACTCTCGCTGAGTGAAAAATCACAATATTTCCCACCCCACTGTTTCCTCCTTATTTTCCTGCGCCAGTAGTTGTAGCTAATTGGCCCCGTTGGAAAACTGTTCAGGGGGCTGGTGCTCCCATACCTTCGGCCTTAGGGCTGGAGATCTTTGAAGTTGGTCCTGAGTGAGCACTGCCTGAGGGCGGCCGAGTTTCTGGCCTCTTCCCAACAGGCCCAGCCTCTACCCTGAGCTCCACAAGTCCCCACCTGGCCCCTCACCTGCTGCTCTGGGCCGCACCTCACTCCCCCACGCCCCCCCCCACAAATCCCTGTGCTGGGCGGCAGGGAGGGCTTCAGGGTTCAGGGTGGCCGCTGTATGGGCCCAGGCTCGCTGCAATGGAGTTTGGGTGGCCTCGGGTGGTCTTGGGGCGACCTCAGGTGGTCCTGAGGGGCCTCAGGGTGGTCTTGGGGTGACCTTGGGGTGGTCCTGAGGGGCCTCGGGGGGATCCTGAGGGCTTCAGGGTGGACTTGGGGTGGCCTCAGGGTGGTCTTGGGCAACCTCAGGGAGGTCCTGAGGCCCTCGGGTGGTCTTGGTGATCTCAGGTGGTCTGAGGCCTCAGG